TATGTATACACCTGTCGGGTTATATATATATATATATATATGTATACACCTGTCGGGTTATACACTATACGCGAGGATTAAAAAAATTCATCAACAGTCGAGGATGAAAACAAACGAACGCCCCGAGGCAAATAATCCATTCGCCGAGACGCGAGAAATGGAGCATCGGAAATTGGAGAAAAAGAGTCTCGCGTGACTGTCACCCGTATACTTTTAAACTTTTTGTCGCTGTCAATTAATTTACTTCGTCGAGACGATCAAAATGCTCACTCGATCGCAAGGACGGCCTGTTTTCACTACACCCGCAATCGGCGAATAACATAGTGACTCGATAATTTGTTATCTCCCGTCGTGATACCAACACACGTACACACCTGTAGCGAGAAAGGATGGAGGGAAAGAGACGGAGCACAGGGTGAATCCTAATGGAGTTTGGCGAGAAAAAGGGGTCAATGGATACACCGCGCACAAGTCAACGCGATGGCCATGCTTTGTTGTAATGATAATCGCCGCGTGTGTGTATAATACCTACTCTCCTGAAAATCACAGGTCGGAAGAATAATATATGTTAGGGGTATGGGTGAGCGGGTCACGACTCATCCCCGGGGATGTAGAAATTGCAATTGGCTCGAGAGTGTTTGCTCAACCGATTGGTCGGAACAGCCCCCGGTTTGTCGTGCTCGCGGTATCACTGGTCGCTCGATTAAAAAGCAAGCCTTTCGTGATTTTTACTCTTTTTCCGTTTGTTCACTGTCACTTTTTTTACTTGCGATGATCAGTTCGCGAATGTATCGAATCCATCGGCTTCGTCAAATAAATACACCTGCAGGACCAATCGTACATATAAAGAAAACGCGAGTTGATAAGCTCGAAAAAAAAAAAAAAAAAAAAAAACAGTCAAACAGAAGTACCGTTGGAGAGCTTAATTTTCGCCGACCGAGCAAGTGTGCACTCTTGGCCCCGTCAAAAGCTCGCAAGCCGAGCTGTCTTTCTATAGCTGCGAGTGGCCACTCTAGGAGTAGGTATATACATCAAGCGCACACGCCCACACTTGGGTATATATGTATAATGCACTGGGTATAATCAAAAAGCTCCTCCGAAAAGCTATATTATACGTGCACGCAGGAGCCACGGAGCGGTCTCCTCCTCCTCGTAGGAGCGAGCACGTAAATTGTACATCCATCCATATATTATATACTTACACATTAGAGAGACAGAGAGAGAGAGAGAGGAAGGGGGAAGTGTTGTGTTTAATAATATTTATAAACCACTGCGCGTATCTTTCGCTCGCTGCACGTCCCAGCTTTTCACCGTTCGAAGGCCACGATACGCGCATACGTTAGCCATCGCCAAAGCGAGACAGATCGGTCGGGGGAGAGAGAGAGGAGCTCTAGAGCCATGGAGAGGTGGTAGTATGGTCGGGGCTACTACCGATCATCGGTTCAACCCGGAGTGGCTTTTAGTTGGGCTATTGTAGCGGCGCCGCGGAGAACACGCTAGGCCCCCCTCTTTGGCTTGCCATCCGTCTCTTTATTATTCCCCTCTCGGACTTTGGCTCTGTATATCCCCTGTTTCGTATCACATTGTCCGCGGGCGTCCGTCGCGCTGTGCAAGTGTGTTTTCGTACATATATCACAAGTACCCGGCACATATTGTATTATTACAAGTTATACATATTATCCTACTCTTGGCTCTTTGTCACTTTGTACCCAAAGCATAAGTATATTTATACGAGCCAGGATTCCGTCCCTGCTGCGCATCGTCCAAAGTAAGACCTTTTCTTCTTCTTCTTCTGCTGGTGATTTGCTGCTTTTTTTTTATTATTATTTTTGTTCTTTTTTTCTTTTATACTTACTCTTGTAGTGCGAGTTTGTTTCGTGTGACTTTCCAACCAAGTACCAACTGTATGATTAAAGGTGATTTTCATTGTTTCAATGACAATAAAAACAGCCCGTACATCATACCTATCCATCCAACTCGCGTGAATATCATACATACATAAACACATTATAATATACCAAAATTGCTTTGTGTGCGCATGTGTGTTTTTTCTTTTTATTTTTCACGTTGAAAGAGATGAAAAATGTTTTAATACTTACACGACTCGGATGAAAATAGACGGCGCTTGTTTTGCCGCGTG